GATGTGGCATGGTACTTATGTCACTAAGAATGAATGATGTGGCATGGCACTTAATATCACTAAGCAGTTGTTTCTCTGAGCACCTATCGATCATTTCTGAAGCGCTTTACGACTCTTAAGAGGAAGTAAAGTGTTAAGACAACAAATAACTACAAGAAGATTGAAGAAAACTCATAGTGATAAGACTTACAGTTATCCATCCAAAATATTATGGCTGGTGGTAATCCAATTGGAGGTCTACAGGGAAGTACCAATGACTGACCATTTCGAAGTGTGATTGGTTCAAGTCTTTCTTTGGTCCACAAGGGCGACCCTGTTAAGTAAAAACCAAAAACTTTCTGAGTTATGGCTTCATGAGAAAATAAAAGGAAGACAACAATACAAAGAAAGGCACCCAAAGTTTTTGGAAAACAGTAACTTAGAATTTACATATATTGAATAATAAAACTACTTTAAATAAGGTGTTAGAGATTTTTTGCAAAAAGCAAACTATAATAGGAGAAAAAACTTCCTCTATTATTATTATATGTTAACACAATAACATATAATAACATAATTATGTATATATTTATATATAAAATATATGTTAACATATAATGACAATTATTATCATTGATAGTGTTATTCAAGCCACTAATCCATTATCTAATAATTTACACCAATAAGACATTGGCTTTGATACAGGCATGTTCTCCACAGAGAATGGGAAAAACATAAATGTCAGCATATTTGATAAATAAGTAAAAATATACACATCTGAACTTCATACAGTATTATATATGTATACTCACTTATAAGATTTGTAAGAGAATATATATCATATATTGATATCAATTTCAGGCTAAGCTGGTTTTATATACATACACACAAGGAAAGAAAAATACCGACTAGAAGTTATTTCTATTAATGGAAAGTCTCATGATGAATTGCAATTTCTTTACCCATAATTTGAAAAGGTATGTACTTCTAAATGTTTTCAAAATAACCACACTGCAAACGGTCACTATTGTTTAGAGGTCATGTCTGGGAACAAATCTCCCTTACTGGATGGGCGGACGACAATGTTATTAGAGACGGCAGCACCACGCTCGTTCCTTGCTGTGCACTGGTAGACGCCTTCATAGGTCTCTGCTTTCCCTTCAGTGATGATGTTGATGATGAGTGTGCCTGAGCCAGGCTTCATGGTGACCAGAGGGTCTTTGTCGATGTCAAAATGAGTTCCATTGCGAGTCCAGGAGAAGCTGCCCAACACATCAAGGGTTAAGCTCATTAATGGTCTAGAAAAATAGGGTTATAGTCACCTTAAAAAAACCTTGTGCTTTATGGGGTTCCAAAGATAATTGGTAGATTTTGATATGTAGTAAAAGGCCCCCTTGCTAAAAATATTAAATTAAATCACAACACTGAAAAAAAATGTGATGTTTTTACATTTTGGGGCATATAAATCTTTTAAAATCAATTCAAATTTAATACAAATTGCCTGCCATTTATCTTAAAAAGTATTAAAAAACAGTTCTTTAAGGTATAGTCTCTGAACTTTATTAACATTTTTATTGTAAACTCCATTGTTCATGCACAGTTGAGCTGTCTATAAAAATGTATTCTAGGCTGAAATAGAACAAGAAAGGCTTCCATAAGTACTGTATTATCTTTGAGTGGGAAATTGATCTGATCAGTTTCAAGTTACCCAAGTACAAACTGGAGACTGAGAAGAGAGTTATTATTAAATGTTTTAGTTATTAAAAGTGGCAATTCTACTTAAGGTGTATTTTTAGAATTTTTAATTCTAGAAATAATTATACAAATTTTTAGAAGATATGCCAAATTGCCAACCCAAATTTATTTTTCTCAGTTTAGTTCTATAAAAGATGCCCTCCTATAGACGTCACGGTGCTCATGTGATTAAATACTTCCTAATTAGTCATACCTCGGTGACGGCAAGATGGTGGCGACATACATGTCTAACTTCCCTATGTTTTCCAACTTGAATTTCTTGTCTTACTACTTATGCTTGCTAAAGCTAGGGCAGGCAGTAGCAGTGGTATAGGCTACAGGCATCTCGTGGGCAGAGGGCAAAGATACTGGGAGCATCCCACAGTACACAGGGTCATTCTCACAGCAAAAAGCCATCAGCACTAACCACTGACAAGAAGTTCTGCCGTACTTGTATGGTCTTAACTAAGAGTGAAAGTGAAGGGCACATGGAGGCCTGTTTGAAAATGGTTTTCAGCAGTATGTCGGGGCTAATGTTTCGGAGTAGAGCATTGATGGAAATGTTGCCATGCATAGGTATCTAGAACCAGGCAACTTTTGGTCCCCCTCAGGTTCTAGTTTAATAAGCTTATATAGATGTGCAAATAAAATACCTAAAACACGTATCCTCCTTATTTTTAAATTAGTGTACCTAGCTACAATTTAACAGTCATAAGATTTAACAGTTTCAAAGTAATAGTTATTTAACATCTTATATTTTAATTATCAAGCGCTATAGAATTCTCCATACTACTGAACTGTTGTGTGACATTCTAGAGGGCTTTGGATGACAGTCCAGCAGATTCCCCTCAGCTCCCCATCTTTATTATACTTTGTTTAGACTGAATTATGAAGAGTCCTGATAAGTACAACGAACAGTGTAGGACTATTCCATGGCCAGTAGAGAGAGTTCGTAGAAGTCATCAACTCAAACTGTTCTCTGTCTTTTCAATCTATAAGAAGCCCAGATAAAATGTTTTCCCTTATCATAAACCACTGTTGTCAGAACCAAGATTAGAGGGTCTTTATCGCCTTAATACTTATGAGCATTTTACAGAAAAGCATGAATAGGAAAGTGCAAAAATCTGGACTTTAGCAAATGAGCTGGAATTAATTTGAGAGATGAGACAATGAACCTATAACTGGAACTTTAGAGAGATGCAAGACCTAAGAAGAGACATTAAACACCTTTAAAGGGCTGGAATGAGCCAGGAGTTTGTTAGAAAAACAGAGGAGTATGCTGTCGGTCATATTGAGAAATATGCAACTAAAAAAGACTTCACTCCGCAGAATCATCCCTATTTTATCGAAATTCCAAACATTTCTATAGTCACAGAGATTGTCCACTATTTTAAATGCTATCCAAAGCAGGAAGCATGCTTACCTTGGAGGAGGTTTCCCTTTAGCCTCACACTGGATTACAATGTTCTCCCGAGGGTCAATAATGTAGTCCTTCGGTGACTGTTGAGTGATGGTTGGAGGTTGTACCACTTAATTGTAAAAGAAGAAATAATGTAAAGAAATAAACGATTTACTATCATGATAGCAGCCACTTTTTCCATGTTAAAATCACTTGCCTTAGACCAAATGTGCCACAAATACTCCTAGTAACTTCTGTGGTAGCAGTAAATCCTCATTAAGTTTTCAACTAAAACTCATCTAAAGTCGGGAAGTCAGGACACAACTTCCCTTTGGCAACATCTCACACACACTTGCAAATTCCATTTTCCCATACCAAAAGTCTGAGAAAATGATTACTAGTCCAAATCTGATATTCAAACACTGTTTTTCTGATGTAACAATGAGAAATTCATGGTTCTTCTGCTCCAATATAAGTTATGAGGTAGATTTGACTCTTAGAATACAGTCGCTGACATAGAGCTCATTAATATGCTAATTATGTAAATTAATATCTCTCAGGGAAACATACTTTTGACATGCTCATATTTAAAATACTGTTAAACTAGAGCCTTGGCATGCCTTATCAGAGCTAAGAGGTAGATGAATTAGGGATGAAGACAAAACACTCTTATTTCAGCAATTGATGGGATTGAAATTCTCCTTTTTAGGAGACGATGTTTCTATTGTGCTCTCTCAATTATTACCTTTACTGTGAACCTTTGAAGGTAACTGTTTTGACTCGGAGCAATTCAATCTAAGGAAAGCGAGTCTAGAGACCTTGAGCATTATCCAAATTTCTCTAAGACCACCACAGTGTCTTTCGTCTCTTGAGATCATGATTCTTGTTAGAATGGGAAGGCACTAGAGAGACCAAGACTTCAACCTCTGGCTTGACCAGGACGGCACCAAGCAGATACTGATTCTCACCTAGTTTCTGCTTGTGCTAAGCACATCTTTAGCAGAAGCTATTCACAGAGTTGTAGTTTGCAACAGGAGCAATTTGCCCTTGCTCTTCCAGGGAGGGACCTTTGACCATCTGGAGAAAGCTCCCATTGCCACAACTAGGGCTGGGGTAGAATGGCTACCTGTAGTAGGTAGAGGCCAAGGATGTCTTACCAGCCCCAGTGCTAACACGCTAGGGCTGAGAAGCCTGGCATGTGCTGCAAAGTGAGGGGCATCTTTGGGACTGTGTGACGAAGCAGTCCTGCTCCAGCTTGCTTTCCCCCGCATCAGGCCCTTTGGACCCTCCTGCCTTTATCTTGTCAACTTCCAATGCTAGTCAGCAGTTCTGTCTGAAGGTTGGTGAATCTCTGTTTTTCATTAGCTGGGAGACTTAAGGCTCAACTCCTGTAAGCCCTCAGAGGGGAGGGAGGTTCAAAATTTGAGCTGGCTTCCAGCTGCAACTGGGAGGATTAGTGACACTTTGTGTAAAACTTTGTGTAAAAGTTTTCATAGATACCAATGCTAGGGCTGTTCAGTTTTGCTTTGGGATTCCGATTTTCGCCAGCTTCATTTTGGAGTGATCAACCTCAGATTTGGGGAGTACAGCGTTTGGGATAATGAAAGGAATTCTTGAGGTGCTACACCACCAAAACGGTGAACAAAGACATTGATAGAAGGGATTCTTCGGAGTCATTCAGTTCAGTTCTTCTTGCGGGGGAATGAGGTGGGGTCCGAGAGTGTCAGACATGCAAATTTAGTTGCAAATGCAGGGCTTCCCCTCCTGTGCCTGCAGCTGTGCCAGGAGTTTGCCATCTGGACGTATAGCTTCTGCACGGTGCTGAGGTCACATGGCAATTAACAAATGCTTTGTAGTAATAAGTGACTTACCAAGATTTCTCTGTTTAATTCAACATCAAAGGAGAATATCTGAGAAGGGACCATCTCTTCCATAGACGATAAAGGCTACCCAGCTGTCAGATGCACCAGAACTTTTTCCTCCTAGGGAGCCTCCGTTGAACAATTAGCTGAAGTGTTCTGCCTTCTGTGTATGTCAAAGCAATCTTCTAATATGCAGAGTTTTACTACTTATAGCATCTAGTTCTACCCAGTTCTGAGAGCTAAAGTCATAGAAGAGGAACTTGAGAGAGGCTTCCGTACACCACCCACTTCCAAAACTCTGCAAAAGATGTGTGTCTGTTCCAGCTGACATTTGTAAAAGAAAAAAAAAAAACACAACGAACGAACCTCCCTACAAAGTTTTGAATTCTCTCATTGAGTTACATCAGATGCAGATACAGCTAGTATATTAGTGAAGAGCAGGTTGGCAAAGGTAGCATCAGAATCTCCGTTATTCATGCAGGTTATACAGTATGTTTGTACCTTAGCATTCAAAGGAGGGATTTGGCTACAGTGAACAACATGCTTAGAAAGACACTCATCACAAAGCATGGTGTTGTTTGCTTGAGTCACACTCTTAAGTCAAGAAACAAGGACACAGCCACATCTTCACACCGCCTAGTAATTTGTGGAAATACACTTACAGTCGTCAAGAAGCTTTGCTTTTTTTCCCCATCAGTATCAGCAGGTGAGTGGGCAGAGAAGATTAAAGAAAATCAGATGTTAGTGATGAGAATGTTAGCACCCTAAAGATAAAAAGGGCATCTTGTCTACTTGGCTTGACCTAGAATAAAAAACCGTACTGTAAAAGTTGCAGTTGTGACATTACAAGAGAAAGAAGCGGGCACCCACAGTTTTGTCTGCCCCTGCCGCAGCTTCTCACATCAGCATATGGAAGAACAAAGGCAATGCTGTAGGGAAAAAAGTGTGGGGGGCGGGCACTTCCAGGAGTAGGCATAGCTAATTCCATCCCGTGCACATTGTGCTGCACTGATAATTATGGTCAATTTGAAAAACAGATGAAATCTACAATTAATCCGACTTGTCACTTTCGGTGTAGGGCCTGATCTTATTATCCCAGACACCAGGACGCATATGATAATGATGCCGAACAATGAGCGATTGCTACCACTCTCCGTCCAAGTCAAATCCAACACTGATTTCCGGTTCGTACATTTCTATGGTTACTCTCCAAGATGGCTTTATGTCATTAGCATATCTCTGCTTCGGCATTCTCGGTCACCCAGATTGAGGATGTAGGATGTTTGTGTGTACTGAAGAAAGGGTGTGTGGAACAGGGACAGGTTTACATGCATTTCCAATCATTCTGCAGGGCTGCCTGTCACTACTACTTGCAAAGGTTAATGCAGGAGAGCCTAGGCTACCCGTGACTTTATTTTCATCACGCTTGTGCCTCTTCTCCATTAGCTGCCATAATTGAGTTAGCCCTAGGTGCCTGTTTCCCCTGATAGTTAGATTGAGCGGTCAGATTAAGGAAGAATATATTTAACACAAGAGAGAACAAAAGCATTTCCCTCACTGCCTTTCCCTCTTTCCAGCGCACCTATTAGAGCAAATGCTTACTTAAATATTCCTGCTCCGATAGGCTCAGGCAAACGTGCATTTCAATTATATGTACATGCACATATTTTAAATTAAGGTCACTGGATGAATAACTCTTAAAACGAAAATGCGGCATTCTGTTGGACTTTAGTGTGGAGGGACACGGCCCAGGCAGTGAGCAGGGTGTGCCAGAAACCCTGCCTCATCACCAGGGGCCAGTTGCAGTTTCTACAGTGGAAAAGGAGACCCCAGCGATTGCATCGCCCGGGAAACAGCTGTCTGTCTTGCGCCTTAGAAAGCTTGCCAAACAGATGTTCTACTCAGGAAGCTGATGGCTTTAAAGAGGTCATGTAGACTGGGGATAAAGGGCAAATCAATTGTGAAGTACAGTAATTGCTCAGATTTGAAATTCTGCTTCCCGCGGCAGGAATATATCCAGCTGGAACCCACTGTTGTCTTCATTGTCGACAAACAAACCACTCGGGCCAGGAAGGCTGTGGTGCACGTTTTACTTTTGGGGAAATAAAGGAGAGAGACGCAGTAGCCCTGTTTGTTGCTTCCTTTCAGGGAGTGTTCAGGTCTGGCCTCGGTATCCAAAATTTTGCACCTTGGTCTGTGACCACATAGTTTAAGCCAAAGAAGACTATTCACTGGGCTTGAGAATAACATACTATTCCTATAATTAAATTCACACTGAGTGCACAAAATGAGAAAGTGAAATAAGGTTGTCTGTCAGGATTAAAAGATACAAGGTAAGAAGTATGGGTGATCTGGGGACACAAAGGAGCAGAGGGTTGGCGATACCATCCTTTGTGTTCTTGTTTTCTTTTTCTTTTTTTCAGAGATGCCTCAGCAATGAAGGGAGACAAGAAGTGAGGCTCTTCTTGTAAAGTGGTTCACCCGGTCCTTCCGCAGGGGGCTGCCCACTGGGAGGATCAGGGCCATTGCGCCAGCCCCTCCTCAGACCACTCCCGCCACTGGACAAAAAGACACCTGAGGCAAAGAGAGATGATGAAAAAGAGAGAACACCTTGTCCAGCCATTTCCATGGCCTTCTCTACAGTGTCTTCATAAACACCAGGTGCTGAAGGTGAAAGCCAAATTAATTTTGATTAGCTTTTCAGTGCTCCCATCAACACAGTTCAGGGTGGTGGTAGATCCCGGGAAGGCGTGTCTCCTGGCCCGAGAGATGTGAACTGCTAATACTCACGATCAAGGGGCACATCCAGGGCACTAATCATCTGGCACAGGAGGAGAATCAGGGACACTCTGCCTGCAGAGAGGTGCTTCTTTTTCGGCATTATTTGAAGCTGCATCAGCTCTTCTCCTGCTGAGATCCACACACGGAATTTCCTTTGCTTCTCTCACAGAAGAGTTGCGGGCAACGCTCAAATAATTTCTCATGCAGGGAACTGAATAAGGGCGGGATAAGAACAGTAATTATGATGCATTAGAAGTCGGAAGCAAAGAGTGAAAAGGAGCAGCTCAGAAAAAAAAATCAGCTCTCCATTATACATAGATTCTAAAAGGGAATTAAGTTTTAAATATTTAACTCCGAGACTGGAATAATCATTTATTCATAAATCTAAAATCAGTTCAGAAATATTTGTGGTGATGTCAAGCAAAATCTGCACCTTTCCTATTATTATGATTTTTCCATTTTTAAAGTGTTAAGAGTGTTCATGCTCCCTGAAGGTCTTCTTTGGAGTCTAACCTGGAACTCACTCTGTAGACCAGGCTGGCCTCGAACTCACAGACATCTGCCTGTCTCTGCCTCCTGAGTGCTGGGATTAAAGGCATGTGCCACGATCACTTGGCCCATGTCTTTCTTAATAACTCAGGAAACCTTGGCTGTGAAGCCAGTTGAAAAGTGAGCGCCCTGAGACTTCAGAGGGAAGTCCTATGGCTTCTTCATTCTGAAGATGCTCGCTGGGAGAGTTCTGGGCAGGACCACAAGTCTCTTCCGAACTCTAAACACGGAGGGAACAGATAAAGACTGACATTCGGGTCATCTCCATTTCTTACCTATACTGCAACGTCAGAGCCAGCTGAACTCTGGGTTCCAGGCTGTCCTCTGCTCGCTCTCCTCAAAAGTGTTGATCAGTTATTTCCTCAAAGGTCTTCTGTGGTGAAATATTAGCGGTCGCCATTTTAGTTCACTCTATCCTTTAACAGGTGTTTAAAGTCCCTCAATAGTCTGGACTGATTGATTCCACCAGCTTCCTTCCACTCCCTTGTAACTATTTTCTAGATGATTTCTTTCTGTTTTTCTTTGTTAGTCCTTCAATGTGCCTTGAAATTCCCCACCTCTTGTCTTATTTTATCCCTTTATTCAGAAAGCCTTATCTACCCTACTTGCTTATCAAAGTCCTATTTGCTTTTCACAAATCAGTTAGGAGGTTCTTTTCAAGAAAGGTCAGCTGATCATCCAGACTAAAAAACATCCTAGCATCACCTCTGAGTTCCTGAAATTTCTCATGCTATACACACTGTTCATGTATATATGCATGCATACATACAAGCATGCATGTTTGTATGTAACATGATCTCAGCACCTGGGAGGCTGACACAGAAGGATTGATGGGAGTTCAAGGCCATCTTGAGCTACATAGTAGTTCCAAGTTCATCTTGGAGCTACAAGTGATACCTTTGTCTCAAAACAAATGAAACCATAAATAAATAATAAAAAAATAGGCTTTGTGGGCTGTGTTTCTCTTGTCTTACTGTGCTGTCAGATGCCGCACTGAAAACCTGAGTTCAGCCATAGAGAAAGATCTTTTTTCCACCTGGGAAGAGAGCTTGAATGTGTCTTCTCAGGAAGCAAAGGCACCCATGGTGGGTAAAAGGGAGCAATACCATTATAACCTAAGGTAGCTACTACAGGCTTTATTAGTGAATTATGTGTGGAACTTTTATTATTTAAGTCGTCGTGTATTTTCACTATATTCATCTTTTCTACCAGACTTCTGCAGGCTGGAGACTGACTCTCCACTACTCCCCAACTATATTTCAGTAGCCTGCTTGGAGCATGGAAGGAAGCAAATAAATATTCGTGATAACAAAATGAAGGGGTGAAAGAAAAGAACAAACCAAAATGAATCCCTGAGATCATTGAATTGATTGTATTCATACAGCTTGACTGTGGTATAACCCGAGCTATTTTTATCCTATAACATGCAGTTTACAGACCAGAATCTAATCATCATAGATAAATCAGCTGTAATATTGACTCAGCACATGGGATAAAGCACAGACATATGAAAAAAATGGAACAATGTGGATAATGTGTGTTTGGCTAGCAACAGAATTCTGATTTAGATTTGGCAGAACAGATACAAATTAAAAACAGCTAACCTTAGACATTCTGCTCATAACATTATTACCTTGTGGCACCAACATTCATACTATGTGGTTTAAGATGTAGAAAGTTTGTCTTTTATTCCATAATAAACATTCATCTCTAGGTAGCATTGAGAAGCGGGAAGAGCAGCTTGTTCAAGAACTTCTGACCCGAATTTAAAGCAACTCCCACTTCTGTGCACACAGCACACGACCACCACACAGTCCCATTTCCTAGGTCGCCTCAGATCTGACTGCTTTAGTGCTACTTCTAATTTAGCAAAAGCGTCAGGGAAAGTGATAATAAAGGGCGCAACGTGCACTAAAGCCAGCAGCTCTACAAACAGCGCGTGCTGAGGAACCCAGCAAAGCTCAGCTCTGGAGCACACACTACCACACTATTGTCTGCCTGGTTTATGAAGCGTGCAAATTAAGTTTATTAGGTTTAGGCACTCAGTTCTCTAAACAGGTACTAGAAAACCCAAACACTTCCCCAAATCTATACAATATATACCACAATGCCTGTAGGATCTTAAGCAGCTATACACACACAGTTTCTAAGTTCCTCACATATTACATACTTTGCCTGATGTCTTAAGTGTTCACTTTCTCCCCCGCTGAGAGAAAACGACGAGACAAGCAAGCTTCATATAAGATAAAGCATCATTTAGCTAGCTTTATCCTTTGAATGTATACATGAAATTAATAAGTCACATATAAAATGACAGTGCATATGATAAAGAAAAAATTCAAGCTTTAGAAAGACCGAGAGAGTACTTACTGAAAGAGGCATGAGCAAATAAATCTTTACACTATTGGGAAATTAGGAACGATCATACTGGAAAAAAATGGTCTCTCCTCAAAGACTGGAAGTTAACTGCACCATTAGCCACAAGATCCTCTCCAGTGCATATGCTCTTAGGGCAGGACAAAGCGATGGTTCAGCCCATCCCTGACTCCTACCCGAGAAAAATCACCCACTCACCCACTCCTCCTTCAAATGCCCTCACAGGTGACATGCCAGGCACTCGAGGGCAGCGTTAAGTCTCCAGCACTCAATCAAACTGAAAATCAAAGACAGCGACAGAAAACTAAGCTTTCTCTCAGGGAAAGGAATGCTGCAGGAAGGGCAGCTCCTGCTCGCATCCTCAGTGTTCCTGTCAATACCCCGCCAGGAGCTACCTGCCTTGAATTCACCTTGGGAGGGGATGGCTATTCGACAGCAAGAACCACAGACCAAAGGAGATTCTTCGTAATGAGATTAAAAGGAATAAAATCTCAATGTGAGATAACACCCCAGTCTAGGTTAAGGAGCATAGTAGCTTGAAATATTGGAAAAAGTATTTACTATTGGACAATGTAAGAGCCTTGGAAAAGATTAGTGTCAGCTTCGATATGTCAGCTTGATAATTAAAATCATCTATGCTGTCAAATGATCAGCAGTAAGAGAAGCAGTGATGCCCTTTAGTTTATAATTCTCTTAGTTACACTAACAGTGTATTTCACATTATGTATAGAATCTGTAAAATGGAAAACAATACAAAACAATAGCAAAAACATCTTCAGTATCCTTTTCTCCACCATAGAAGAAATGTAATTCAAGCTTCCTTTACTTTTGCCTCAACTTCATAGTAAATAATAAAGTATGATTTACTATATAGTTTTAAAGAATAATCTTAAGTTTTGGCAAAAAAAAATTCATGTAAAGTCCAAGAAAAGTAGCTGTCCTATGACTTAAATAAGATGTCTTTGTTTTTAGAAGAAAAGTAAAATCTTGTTTTTCTCTCAAATGAGAACTGCAGCTATTTTAGGTTTTAAAAGTCAGCTCTCCAGCAGGACAGGGAGGCTGAGCATCGTTTGCCATTTTCTCTGCACTGTTCATGCTTTTCCGTATCCAGCGCGGGGGCGGGCGTCAGTGCTGAGTGCACACAGCTGATCTCTGCTGTTCAAACCAGTGAACAAATAGTCATATGCCCGGGCTCCCATGACACACTACCGCCACGGATGGTGCATCAGCAGCTGGCCTTTCTGGCTGCCCAACTACTGGATGGGCCTTTATCCTGACTCTTCTCCAGTTTCCAACTCGGGGATGGTCACTCTTACATTGTAATATTTTTACAGTAGGGGCTAAGCACAGGAATGCTACCCCTAGCTGCTCCTGTGCTTGTCAGCCACAGACTTGTATCTGAGGCCAGGGAGAAAAGAAGACATAAATCCTGCACGAAGTCACATTTACATCAGGACAACCACAAGTCACATGGAGCTAAGGTGTGGACGACAGAGACTTTAAGGATCTCTAAAAAAAAGCATGGCAAGCTGTATGAGGCCTTAAAGGGCATGTTTCATATTTCCCTCAGTCAAAGGAATAGTTCAGTAGGGATTCTACAAAGAATTGGTAACTAAGATGAAACAGTATCTAAGGACAGATAAACAATGACAGGTGTTTTAGTTAGGGCTTCCGGTGCTATGACAAAACACCATGGCCAAAAAGCAAGTTGGGAAGGAAACAGTTTATTTGGCTTATACTTCCATAGCACAGTTCATGATTAAAAATCAGGACGAGAACTCAAGCAGGGCAAGAACCTGGAGGCAGGATCTGATGCAGAGGCCTTGGAGGGGTGCTGCTTACTGGCTTGCTCCTCATGGTTTCCTCAGCCTGATTTCTAATAGAACCCAGGACCACTCACTCAGGGATTGGATCACCCATAACGGGCTCTCCTCCACCAGTAACTAGTTAAGAAATTGCCTTACAGATGGATCTTCTGGAGGCACTTTCTCAGTTACGGTTCTGTCCATTTAGAAAACTCCAGTTTGTATGTCAAGTTGACATAAGACTCGCCAGCACAACAGGTGACAGTGTATCTTAGTAAAAGCTCAGACCCCACACCCCTCTAAGCACTGTAACTGATCATCTTCTGGGGCACATTGTAAAATGACAGAAAATGGAAAAGCAATACAAATATATCCATTTAACAGATGAGGGAAGAAAAATCCTAATCGTGACGGCTACTGTACTAGCTTGTTATCTGTTGCAATGATAAAATCCTCTGGTCAAAATCCATCTCACAGAAGAAAAGGCTTTGTTTAGCTTATTCTTCCAAATCACAACCCATCATTAAGGGAAGTCGGGGCAGCAAGTCTATGTAGGAACACAGAAGCTGGGGCCAAAGATGAAAGCAGAGTGGCGACCCATTCTTTCCTCCGTTCCCTGGTTCATGCTCAGTTAACTATCATACACAGTCCAGACCCAGCCGCCTAGGGACCGTACCACCCACTGAGTGTTAGACTCTCCCACACTAATCAGCAATCGAGATGATCCCTTACAAACATGGCAACAAGCCATCAGATTCCACAATACAGACGGCCTGAGATGACTTGAGGCTATGTCAATTGACAGTTGAAACTGTATTATTAAGTGCCATCCTGTACAGGAATCCTACATAGGTTCCTCCCTACATGAGGATATCCTGTCTGCCGAACAATTCCCAAAGTGCAAGGGCCGAGGACAAGATGGCTCAGTGGCTCAGTGCTTGCTGCTGATCCTGACAACCAGGGTTTAATTCCTGAAACTCACATGGTAGAAGGAAATAGCAGACTCCTACGAGTTGTCCTCTTGACTTTCACACATGAGCCACTGCATGCACAACCTCTCCCCCCAACACAATAAATGTAATAAAATAATTAAATAAAAATTCTAGCATCCAACTCCCTCATAGGGACTCCACAATGTAGGCTGGTAGTCACCTGCTGAGGACACACAGACAATGACAGATGAAGGACCAGA